TAGCATGCTAACAAAACAATGCAGGACACAGGTGATTACAGCTCGAGTGAAGGACAATTTTGTTGACCGCTTTTGCTTGACTCCTTCATGGGAACTCGATTGTTGCAAGGTTGGAGAGCAGAGGCTCCAGTATGGAGGAGGTGTGGACAACAGCAGTTTGTTTTGGTTTCATGCTGGTGCTCAAAAGCTACAGCTACTGGATCAAAATGTCACGCATTCTTCCTGTAAAGTTCCATTCTTTCACACACGTGGTCTCCAGTCCGCTTCCCAGGGAGCAGAGTATCTTTGACTGATCCTGCTGTCTGAGCTCTGTGAGACAGAGGTCACCTGATTTTCCATTTTCTCCCACATTTAATCGGCCTCCTCCTGGAGGAATGTTAATCCGGCTTCAGTGAATGCCAAGTCTGCAAATACTGATGTTTGAAAGCGTAATTGGAAACTAATTGGAATGCATGAAATATTTAAAGTCGCAGCAGAGAGGGCAGAGACGTGCACGGAGATTTAAACGGTGCAAGGAAGGAAGAAAAAAAAGACGGGCTATTCGCCCCGCCTGAAGGTTTTAATATTCCAACATTTATGTGATTCATCATCGCTCAAAGAATCCATTGATGAAGTTTGACTGAACTTTCATAAACCACTAAAAGCAGATCATCAACTTTATGAACATTTTTGGTTTGTTGAAGACAAAAAAGAATCCTGCACACCACTGGGATGAAACGGACCCAGTGTGATAGTACCAAGCAGCAACATCCGGTCTGGAAAAATGAAGCCAAAGTGGAAGTGCAAAATCCTGCAGTTTGTCGAGAGTCCACTAGAGGCTGGCTGCAGGAACCCCAGAAGTCACATACACATGACTGTCAAAAAAGCTGTTTTTACAGCAGCGATTAACATGTTTACAGCCAGCCTAAATAAAAAAACCAAATAGGTCTGATTAGTTATTAGGCATGTTCAGACCACAGGAACTTTTTTATAGTTCTAGGAACTGTTGGAACCCTCCCCTTTTTTATTGATTACGTATCGTAGGAACTATGAACTACTTTAGTTCCTAGAACCCCGTTTAGAGGAACTTTTTTAACTTCTTCTTCAGTGTAGGTACCATGGTGGTGTGATTTAAGACAGAAAAAAGTTGCCATGGTGCTTTTAAGTTCACTTGTGCAGCTCGTGCAGCTCATTCCAGGGGAATGTTCAGGGGTTGCGAGCAGGTGTGAAAACATTACATCGCGTGATATCCTTTCTCTGTATCAGATCAAAATGTGTAGGACAGCTTATCTGATGACTGATAACTCACTGTTATGTAAATATGGTTAAGCTGGAGGATCTAGCATCTTGTCACCTCACCGCGTCCTTTGTCATGGAAAAACGGGTCAGACAGGACTCTGGGACATCGTGGAGAACCTTGTTTACATCAACCAGCCTGAGCAAGCATTAAAATGAAAAGAGAGCGAGAGAGACGATGTAACCCCTGGAGAGCGTGCAAACAGACATGTAGAAGAATGAAAAGAGTTAACTCAACATGAATCACACAGCGGTTTGGCTAAAGACACGTTCAAGTTCAGCTATGAGAAGGTGCATTATTGTTGGGTTGACTGCTTCAACTGGTGGGTCGGCTGCATCGTCAGCCATGTTACCAAGAATCACACTTTAGTGTTATCACGTCACCTTTTTATTCATTCCTTCCTCACAGCTAACTGGAATAGCATTTCATCAGCAGCCATGGAACACAACAACCAATCTCCCGCTCTTTCATCTTAACGTAAAGTAGGTCGCAAAACATAACGCATCACAACAGGAAGTCACATCATGAAAAACAAAATAAGATCTCAACATGTACACTGTTCTTTAAGTGCATACAAAATGAGAATGAGAACATAAAACTCAACACCCCCTCTTGTTCTCATCATCTTAACCCAAATACCATGGTCTCTCATGGCTTTAGTTTCCAAAGTACCATTTCTTGAACTTAATTATTGTTGCTTTTGTAACAGGTTTTGTTAGAATGTCTGCAGTCATGTTTTTTTCCGATGGACAGTAAATAATATCTATTTTCTTCTCGCTTAGTGCTTCTCGAATAAAATGATATTTTACATCAATGTGTTTAGACCTCTTTCTGTTTACGGGATTCTTGCTCAGTGCAATTGCTGCCTGATTATCACCATGAATTTTAGTACAGGTGTACACTTTATTGTCCATGCCATTTAACAGTTGTGTTAGGTACATGCTTTCCTGCATAGTGGTAAGTCCAATGTATTCAGCTTCACAAGTTGACAGAGCCACTATGGGCTGTTTCCTTGATTTCCATGAAATCGCTGGTCCTTGTTTTGTTAGGCTGAAACAATAGCTTGTAGTGCTACGTCTGTCTTCCACAGACGAAGCTCAATCTGAGTCACTGAATGCAATCAGGTTCAGATCTTCCTCGCTTTTCTTAAAACATAGTTCATAGTCATTTGTGCCTTTGAGATACCTTAACACATGCTTAGCAGCCACCACATTTTCTGCTTTTGGATTTGCCAGTGTTTGAGATAGTTTACTAACTATCCAGCTAATATCTGGTCTGGTGCAAGTCGTGGCATAAATCAAACTGCCCACAATCTGACGATACTCTTTGGGATTAACAATCTTATTTTTGACATCTTCCAGTGGTTTTTGTTCACTTGATGTATACCTTGGTTTACAATCTGACATTCCAAATCTTTCTAGCATCTTTTTGATGTAATTTTTCTGGTTCATTTTGATTTCTCCTTTCTTTTGCTCAAACTGTATGCCAAGGAAATATGATATTTCCCCCAAGTCTTTCATGTTGAATTTTGATTTCATAGTATCTTTGAATTTGTTCAACAGATCATTATCACTAGCTGCAAGGATCAAATCATCCACCCATATGATGACAAGAATGGTACCTTTTTCTGTCTGTTGTTTGTAAACACAGTGATCATTTGGATTTCTTACAAAGCTATTTTGCTCTAGATAATCATTTAGTAGTTTGTACCAATTTCTCCCAGATTGTTTCAGGCCATAAAGAGATTTCTTTAGTTTGTATACTAATTTTTCTTCACTATCTAATGTTACTCTGAAACCTTCTGGTTGTTCCAAGAAGATTTCTTCCTGTATTGGGGCATGCAAATATGCAATCTTAACATCCATCTGATGTATGATGAGATCATTTTGAACTGCTATCTGCATCAGCGCTCAAACTGATGTAATGTTTGCTGTTGGCGCAAAAGTTTCATGATAGTCTATTCCTTCTGTCTGACTGTATCCTTTCACTACATATCTAGCTTTAAAGATTTTTCCATTCTCTGCATGTTCTTTGAGGGCATATACCCATTTTCCTCCTACTGTATTTCTACTTTTAGGTAATGATGTCAGTTCAAAGGTGTCGTTTTCTTTAAGTGTGTTGATCTCTTCTGTCATGGCGTGCTTCCGTCAAAGCATCTCTGGCTTCACAATAAGTTTGTGAAACTCCACATACTGCCCTGTAACAATAATCAACATTGATGTGGGTTAGATCGTCATCTTTACAGTTTGAAGTGTAATCTTCCAAATATTTTGGAGCTTTCCTTTCTCTCCTTGGATAGCTTTTGTTTTGGCTTTGTTTTTCATCCTCATCTGTATTCTCTTTAAGTTCTGATACTTCTGTATCATCTGTTTCTGCATGCTCCTTATTGTTATGTAATACCTGATTTCTTCGTCCTGGGGCACATCAACATTGTTTTCACTGTCAGACTTTCTGTATTCATATGTCTGTATTTCTGAGTCACATTCATTTGTTTGTGTCTGTTGTTCAACAATGTTCTTTTTGATAAATTTCACCAGTCTGTGTTTTTGTACCTTTTCCGTTTCTGGGTTGTAAACCAGGTAGCTGGACTGTTCTTACTGTATCCCACAAATACTCCCTTCTCACATCTGGGGTCCAGCTTCTTCTGGTTATGTCTATATGCGTAACAGTCTGATCCAAATATCCAAATTTTTGATAGATTTGGCTTTCTCTTTGTTAGCATGTGGTATGAGGTACTTTTTGTTCTGTCATTGTAACATCTGTTGCGGATATGAGCTGCATGTTGGACAGCATAAGGCCACAATATCTTAGGTAATCCCTTTTCCAGTAATAAACACATTCCCATTCAAAAAGGGTCCTCCACTGTCTTTCAGCTGTCCCATTTTGATGTGGGGAATATGTTGATGACGTCTCATGTCTAATACTCTTTTCTCTTAATAGGGACTGAAAAGCCCCGCTCATAAACTCTGTACCGTTGTCGGGTCTGATACATTTTACACTACCGTATGGTGCACAGTCTGCCAGAAACCTTTCTGTTGCGAATGTTGTGTCACTCTTGTTTTTGAGGAAATACACAAGACACTGCCCCTGAAAAATCGTCTGTGAATGAAATGGCGTATTTGTGGCCTTCTCGACTAATCGGCTCAATAGGACCTGCTAAGTCTGTGTGTACCAGTTCTAGAGGTGCATTAGCTTTGGCATCGGTTTTCCTATTTCTGCTGTTAGTGAATTTTTCTTCTGTGCAGACAATACAGTCTATTTTAGCATTACCTGTGATTTTCATACCATCTACCACGTTTGGTAATTTTAGCACATCATCTACATTACAGTGACCCAAAATATCATGCCATGTTTTGACATCACAAGTTAAGTTCACACCGTCACTCAATATCATAGTATTAACTGTGTCATCACATTGTATGTGATTATTTACCGTTTTCAGATAATACAGTCTCTCGTATTCTTCAATGCAGAAGACGATTCCATCTTTGGTTGTGAGCTCATTTTGTCCCCTTTTGGAGACCACTTTGGCACCATCGCTTGTGGCTGCTTTTACAGAGAAGATATCCTGAGGATACGTTGGTATGAACAAGGCCTCCTTCAGAATGACAGGGACGAGTCTTCCATTTGAATCCTGCAGATCATCACATCATGTATATTCATGTGAATGAGAACTGGTGGGTCGGCTGCTTCGTCAGCCATGTTACCAAGAATCACACTTTAGTGTTATCACGTCACCTTTTTATTCATTCCTTCCTCACAGCTAACTGGAATAGCATTTCATCAGCAGCCATGGAACACAACAACCAATCTCCCGCTCTTTCATCTTAACGTAAAGTAGGTCGCAAAACATAACGCATCACAACAGGAAGTCACATCATGAAAAACAAAATAAGATCTCAACATGTACACTGTTCTTTAAGTGCATACAAAATAAACGTTGTATAAAACATATACATATGAACACTGTAAGTCAAACTATACATCACATCATGTATATTTATGTGAATGAGAACATAAAACTCAACACCCCCTCTTGTTCTCATCATCTTAACCCAAATACCATGGTCTCTCATGGCTTTAGTTTCCAAAGAACCATTTCTTGAACTTAATTATTGTTGCTTTTGTAACAGGTTTTGTTAGAATGTCTGCAGTCATCTGAGTAGCTGTCTGTCACAAATCACTCTTTAACTCTACTTTAATTTACCCGCCACTTTAGCTGAGCAATCAGTGTTGCCTAACTGCTAAATTCCACCTGATGTGTGTACAGTCTGTCGCTGCTCCTCCCCATTAGCAGAGCTGATAGGTTTCTACTTTAGTCAATGTGTGTGCTTCCACTGGCGCTCCGTCTCAGCTCCGTCAGTCAGGAGCCCTCTGCAGCAGAAACACCAGGCTTCTATTTCTGCAGGATGCCGGAGCTGCTCCATGCTGCGCTCTGGTGAAAGGTGGAAGTTCTGGGTGATGTGTGTCTACAACCAAACATTTGTGTTTAAACAGGTAATGACAGTATCAAAAAGTCTATGTCATGGAAGAACATAAAACCTGCGCTGGTATTGATGCCCGTTTACCGCCCATGCACCGCTATATGAGACAACAGATAAACGCTGGATACTGACGCCAGTGCACGCCACATCATGTGCAGGTGGGTTAATGTCTGTCAACGAGGCCGATGTTGAAGCGATGCATGAGAGCAGCCCTCATGAAGAGCAGTCAAATCAATGTACATAAAAACCTGTCTGTTAAAGTCTGACAGGCTTCAATGCCATGTTTCGGCCTCTTCATTAAATATGTGAAACATTTGAAATTGTGAAATGTACCTTTAAGACATACTGTGTTGCTAGGTTACTAATTTCTGTATCCAGGCTCCTACTTTTCTTTTGCCTCTCAACTCAACAGTGATGTGATGGTTCGAGTGGACGCCATGTTGCTCATGTATGGTAAAATAGTCAGTAGCGCTGAGATCGAAATGCAGTACCTGATAAATGAAAATCTCCATGATGACAGTAAAGTATTTCTTACATCCAATGATACCAGAAAGCTCCTGCAGAGCTAATTCCAGCTAACAAGGTTAGCATAGCCGCAACGAGCATTGTGGAAACCGCAGACACATATGGCAGTGCACTTTTGGCTAAACAGCGCTCTCCAAAACTTTTGTTACCAAGAGGCACAGCGTTACATATTCTTTGACTTTTCTGGAGGTCATGTTTTCACTTTGGTTTTTGTTTCAGCATGTAGCGTTGACGAGTGTGTGTTTCACAGCTGCTCTAACACTTGGAGAGACGGAGCCGTAGACAAAAGCACTAAAGAGACAAAAACAACATGACCTCGACCTCTCTGAAGTTCAGCAGCAAATAAAATCTCTGTTGTCTATGGCGGCGACACTTTGTCCATACAGGAGTCAGAGAGGCTGCAGTGAACAGAAACAGGAACTAAAACAGGGACCTGAAATTTAAGAATAGTTCAAACAGGAAACAACGCCGACCTGCTGATGCGTGTTGTTTTTTAAATCACGTGTTGAAACAGGAGAGAGAGTAGGGGAGGTTTTTAGTGGACGTCAGGTGTAAACGCCGCGGAGCAGAGCACCAAGAGCTGTCCACATGAGCCTCCACACACATTCAAACACATACACATTACATAATGTTCTGACCTTCCATGCCATGTTATAACTTGAATCAACATGCATGAAAGACCAGCAGCTCTGCAGCTTATTTATGGAGATACAGCGCCTTAACAGAAAGTCATTGCTCATTGAACCCGAGGCGTCTGACACAACAAACTCAAAATGACTCATTTAGATTACCGGAAAAGCTCGCGGGCTTTGATGCATCATCCAGATTTTACAGAAGTGTCTCGTTGTGGATGTGTTTTTTCTGTGTTGCATAGTTGCATAGAGCATCATAATAGTTCTCGTACTTGGCTTTGTGCTAAGCTAGTACGAGAACGATACCTCTAGAGGGCACACCAGAGAGCTCAGGATGTACCCGACTCCCAGATATGTGGAATTTAAAGGTGTCTCTAGTCTGTCTACAAACCCCCCAATGATGAGAAAAGTCCATCCTCTCCGTCTTCTGCCTGCTCCACTTTTCAGAAAATGTGTGCTCAAACAGGCCGTTTGGAGATTTTCCCTTCATGACATCACAAAGGGCAGTAACCCCTCCCCCAGGTGGGTGACACTCCCACAGCTAGGTGTTTGTTCTGCCCTCTGAGTCTGCCTTCTCACCGTAAACAATAGGACATGGAGCGAGAAAGCCTGAGTACACCCAAGCCCTTCCAGAGTGTTTTTGCATCTCTTCTAAATTTGCTGCTTGTTTTCCTGATGTCCGTCTTTTCAGCTGTTGCCGAGTGTCTGCCCTCGCTGCCCGTTGTACAGTGTAGTAAAGGGGTCATTTGTAATATTTCAGAGCTGTTAGATTTATTATCCTATTTTAAATACTGAAAGACTACGGGTCGCAAAAGTTTGAAATGTCCTGCAGACTGCTTCAGCTTGCAGCCACTAAAAAACCTGAAATAGAGAAATGCTAGGGGAGCTTAAAGATGTGCACGTTCTCTCCGACCGGAGCTCGACTAAAACCTGATTTAAAAAAAGTTGACTTTTATAATAAGAGTTGTCTGAATGTCAGGTATCTGTGAAGATGAGATCTTAAAGAGCGCAAAACGGAAGCATGTCAGCCGCTATATTTTAAAAACGTATGGATCTCAATAAACACTTAAAAACGAAACATCTTTACAAACTCTCTGCTCGCCTGCTCGTTGGACCTTTCATGATTTTTGCGTGAAAACACGAAGTGACAGCGAGCAGACTGAATGTCTCTGTGCTTGTGTTTGTCTCTGCGTGTGAGGCGTGGGCGTTGTGTTCGCCATCATCTGCTCTCCTAACGCCTGAGCGTGTGTCAGGTGTCCTGCGCTTGGCTGCATCCTCAAAGGAAATGCTCTGCGAAAGTTGTGAGGTTTGCAAGCTCCAACATCACCACATTATGATGTAGGCCTTGACTCAGGGCCTGGACTCTGGATTATCGTTGTGTAATTTGTGTGTGTGTCATGACATGGCATACAAAGCCTACAGGGCTAACACTAACCGTTATATAACCACACACACACACACACATATACAGTCCATTTCCACACATGCACAGTTATGACATATTATACTCTCAGAACGATGGCCTGCAGACTCACCAGCTCCACATCTATATTTCTATGTTTCACCAGCGAGCTCCAGTCCCGGAGTCCAGAGGTCCGATGCACAAAACCAGAAACATGCAAACACATTCATGTTGCTGTTATTTCATTAGTCTCGATATTTGCAGAACTGCACAAGTTGCACAATCTGCACCGAGTTGCACAAGCAAAATATCTTCTCAACACTATTTCTACACAGCTGCATGTACTTCTGCCTGCTCCGACTCTAGAAACGAAGGGCAAAAAAGCGATTGTGTTGCATTGGCGTGTTTCCATTAGTGCCAGAGCAGCCGTCATTAGTGTGACCATTTACGCACGGCTGCAGCTATTTATAGTGCCTATATCAAATGACTCATCATATTTTCCTTTTTACTCCTAATTGTCCTTGATACGTTAACCTAAAGAAGCAATAATTCATTCAAATGTCAGCTCTTTAATCTCATATTTATTCTCCTTATTAACATTTCCCCTCACATATGAATCTAGATATTCAAAGAGCGGCCATCTTTAAATAGAAGATGTCAACCTTTAAACCTTAAATGCAGTAAAATGTGGTAAAAAAGGGGAATATGTTGTCTTGTTTAATTAGCAGCTTAAAGGGACGTTTCAGTTTATCTTTGCTTTAGTTTGATGGGATTTTGGGATCTCCTGTTTCAGTTTGGGAAATAAAACCTGCAGAAGAAAGGACGTATTGTTGACTCTCTTAATGAACGTTTATGTTGAGTCTTTCCTGTGTACAGAACAGCACACACGGGATGAAGCGGCTCTCTGTATCATCACTGTTTCATTTGTCAGAGAGCTCCGAGCTGTGCAAACACACCGCTGAACAGAGGAACCGCAAATCTGCAGCTTCCTCTGATGAGTAACTGGACTCAGCCGTGATGATACCTGAACCCTGCTTCAATTCAACACAATGATATTTGTCAGAAGGAGCCTGTAAACGATCGAGGAAGGAGGGGTTTCCAGTCCAAACAAAGAGCCCCTGATTATGTCATCAGGACTGAAATTCTTCCACATTTTGAAAAGTAAAAATGGAGGCCACTTTAACCAACTCTTCTTTCACTTTAGGGTCATTTTAAGGAACTTCTATCATCCGAGAACAGACCGTTTCCCCAATGAAAGGTTGACATTTAGGTCCACATTAACCCTGATTATGCCATCAGGACAAACTATCTTCCACATTTTCAAAAGTGAAAATGGAACTTCACCAATTTTCCTTACACTGGAAAGTCATTTTACAACATGTTCTCAAGTGAGATCCAATATGGAGTCCACTTATCATACTTCCTGCACTGTAAGGACTATCTGAGGGGTAATATTTTGTTAATTGGAAAATCCTACAAGTGAGACCAATGGGTTTTACCTCCACCAAAATATCTCTCTTAAAGGTCCCATATTATGCTTTTTCTGGTTTTATATGCTCTTTAGTGTGTTTTCTAAGTGTCCTGTGCATGTTTACGTACATCTATTTGCAAAAATTCAAATTTGGGGAAACACGGCTTCTCCTACGTCCTCCTGTTAGCTGCAGCATTAGCTGCATGTAATGCTCAGTTCTAGTCCCCCTCGAAAATAAATTTGACAGTGTGACGTCTTGTCAGTGTTATATCACTGATCTAAGCCCATTGGCTCGTTGTGGCAAGCCCAGCAGCTCATGTTGCACGCCCATTAACTTCTGTAGCACGCCCACGATATGCCGTAGCCTGCGGTAGCACAGTAGTGCTAAGGTGCTAATGTTTATGCACGGAGCCAGTGGCTGCATTCCCAATATGGTCAAAGGGGCGGGACATTTCCGAGAACCGTGCTGAGCGACTGACCAATAATGACAGAGCCGACAAGCCGACCAATCAGATCAGACTTGGCACACGCGGGGACTCTGAACGTGGGCACTTCAGAGCCTTAGAGAGAGAGTCAGAAGCGAGCCGGTGCATGGAGCGGCAGTACATGAAAACAGACACTTTTTTCAAACTTTAGCTATTGTGAACATACTTTAATAGGTACATAGATTAAATACATGAAACCCAAAAAGGGCATAATATGGGCTCTTTAAGTGAACTTCTAACACATTATCTCTGGAAGGTTACCCGAGAGGCCACTTTAACATGTTTCCCCAATGAAAGGTCATCATTTGGGTCCATGTTGCCCCTCACCATGTCATCAGGACTTAAAAATCTTCTATCCCCTCTGATAGGTCACCATTTAGGGATTTAGGGAAGGCATTGCTTAATCTTTACTGGAATGCCCTCTTGGTATGTAATCCATTTTCTCCACCTAATGGCTCATTAAACAAGACTTTTAACACACGTCCCCTCTGGAGGGGCAGCCTGGAGGACACGTTGGTGCAAAAGGCCTCTTAATAAGTTTTAATGGTGGCCCTCTAGTAGAGAAATATGACCGAGAGGCACCCTCATGGGCACCCTTGTCGACATTGTATTACATTTTCACTACTAAAAATTCCCACCTCCACCGTGAACGGCATGTCATCTGTTTTCTCCACAGGACACTTGTTCACATGTTCTCAATGGGATGGTTGTTTTAGTGGTCAGTTCGTTGTTTTTTCTCCACCGGAGGGCCAACGTGGAGGGCAGGAAATACTTGAATTGGCCGTTAGAAGTGTGTCCTGAAGTGGGTCCAGCATGGCAACTAAACAGGGAAGTAAAAATGAAGCACTTCTTTCACATGAACTGATTTTATTTTATCTGAAACAGCTGGGGCAAAGTGAAAGTCAGAGCACTGATTATACTCTAATTTAATTTAAAACGAAGCCCCACAGATCTGAAAGTCAAAGACAAACCTGACACCTCCAGTGGTTTGTAACTGTTACAACCTGACGGCTGAGTCAAAATTCACATTTGGTATTTGTAACAAACCACACATGCAGGAAGCAAGAAGGTCAAAGCCACGGTTTATAGCCTTTATTAGATAACTGAGGTGCGGTAAACAGAGTCATTGTGGCGCTATCTGTCCATGACTCAATACAATAATGAATCCAGATAAACAATGAATTCCTCTCTGATAAGTGAGCATCTGGTTTCTGTAAGATCAGTCTCGGGAAGGCGTTTATTGAAGGGTTTATTGCATGACACGCGATCTGTTCATGAACACAAACACAAAAACAAGAACTGTCACACTGACCTTGTGTGTGTCTGTCACTCCGAGTCGACAACAACACAGAGCTTATCTAGCACACGGCCTCTTAATGTTCTTCTTTAGGCTCGGCTTTATCGCCCTCAGTACGTTCATATTAACACCATGGCTTACGCACACAGTTGTGAGGCTTCTGTGACACACACACAAAAAGAAAACATTCTCAACCCCCTCTTGGCAAACATCCACACCTCTGAGTGGCGCCCACCTTTAACATCGCCCTCTAGAGTCAGCTTTGAACATGCAACGCACCAGGTTACAGTTTTCCTATGATGAACGTGTCTGTTGATGAAACTCACATCTGCACTCCTGAAAATGTCTGAATAATTTCAGTAGGCAGCTTCTGAAATCCTCCTGATGCTGTTGTTTACAACCAGCCTGCAGGAAAACATGGTTTCTGCAATGCTGCAAGTTGCATCTCTCAGGCTTCTGAGGAACTTTTAAAGTTCTGATTCAGGACTCTGTGTGGACTCAGGACTAGATGTGGACTCGGTGTGGACTCAGGACTTGGTGTTGACTCAGGACTCTGTGTGGACTCAGGACTCGGTGTGGACTCGTGTGGACTCAGGACTCTGTGTGGACTCAGGACTCGGTGTGGACTCGTGTGGACTCAGGACTCGGTGTGGACTCAGGACTCTGTGTGGACTCAGGACTCGGTGTGGACTCGATGTGGACTCAGGACTCGGCGTGGACTCAGGACTCAGTGTGGACTCAGGACTCGGTGTGGACTCGGTGGGGACTCAGGACTCGGTGTGGACTCAGGACTCGGTGGGGACTCAGGACTCGGTGTGGACTCAGAACTTGGTGTTGACTCAGGACTCTGTGTGGACTCAGGACTTGGTGTTGACTCAGGACTCTGTGTGGACTCAGGACTTGGTGTGGACGCGACATGATCATTGTTTTTATTTCTCTCTAAGCCCTGGTGGAACAATGATTCTCAGATGACACATTCAAAGAAGTGAAAGCGTCTCTGAGAGCCAGAGCGGCATGGAAAACTACCAGAGGTGTGAAGGTACATGTGTCACTCCTACACACACACACACACACACACACACACACACACACACACACACACACACACACACACACACACACACACACACACACACACAGTCCATCAGGTGTCGCACAGACATCAGAGGGGGTGTGTGTTTGTCCATAGAAGCTGTCATCACAGAGCTGGCAGGAGACACATTCCTGCCATTGTGACTGCAGATCGTCGACCCTGACGACCTTATAAGTTCATAAATCAGAGCCCTTCCTGCCGGTCTGCACAGCAACACTCAGACCCCTGACAACAGCACGAGCAGGGTTAAAGTTTCTATTGGTTAAATGATCAGGAATGACTGCAGATATGTTTCACAGCATGTGGATGTTGGAGGTTCATGGAAACACCTTGCATGCAATGGGTTTAAGAATTACTGGTTGATTTTATATTTCCATTGACCATCAGGGCCGCGAAGAGACCTCTCCTATCTCCTCCAATATCCATGCAAGAAGGGATCAGGGTTAACCGAAAACATCGACGAGTTATGTAGCCTGATGTGCATCTCCTCAAAACTGAAACACCAGGTCGAAAGAATTCAGACCATAAGCCCTGTGATTGGTCTGCTGGGTAGCATTGTATTTCATGCATTTAAACCATTTCCAGTATCGTCTACATTTTCATAATTTTGAAGGAGGAGCGCTAGAAACCATGGACCAAGTCGAGGAGAGACTCAGCCAGGAAATCAGGGAGTAACCACATCCGACAATATCAGAAGTCTATCTATTTCTAGAAATCTACTTCCAAATTCACGTCTCTCACAGTCTGTGGTTGCTCTGTGTCACTGCAGGACAGAATGTGTGACTGATCTGGAAGCTGGCAGGCTGCTGAAGTGGGGAGCTTGTCTACTTGGAAAAGAACGAGAAACGTTTTTGATTTGAT